CTCTCGGCTCTGAGCAGGGCACGCCAAGAGCCGGTACCAAGCCATCAGCTGTGGTGTGCACTCGCACAGATGCCGCCGGACTTGGGGCACTCACGAGGAGCTGTGGGGGGCTCAGCAGTGGGGGCGGCAGGGGGACAAGGCAGATGGGGGTGGGCAGGTCTAGCCCTGATCCCTCCTGACCCCTCTTCTTACTGGCGCTGGGCCCAGGCGAGTCACTCACCCCTGCAGGCCGTGGCTTGCTCATCCCTGGGTTGGCGTTGGATCTCAGGGAGGAGAGCTTGCCAGGAGAGGGCTGGGCAGGTGAGGGCAAGGTGGTGACCTCTGTGCCGGGAGGTCCTAGGCTCCCCGTGTAGGCCGTGGGGTGCGTGTCCTGGCCACTGTAGTGGCTGGATCACCCACCCAGAGGCCCCTGGCCTTCCTGGAGATGTGACCCCTCACCTGCAGAGCTGGGTTCTACTGTCTGCCCTGCCCTCCTCACCCAGGGTCCCTCTGCCACCTGATTTCTTACTGCTCCAGAACAGGCTGGGTCCAAATCCATGTCCCTGCGAGCCCCAAGGAAGGGTGTGAAGGGAGGTGAGCCTAGAGCTCGGCCAGTGCCATCCACTTTCCTGCCTCCCCTCTGCAAAGAGCTTAAGAGGCATCAGACCGCAGGCCTGGGCCCCAGCGCCCCTGCCAGCCACCTCATCTGCAGGCCCAGCTCCCTGGAGCCTGTCCTGGCTCGGCCTGCACCCTCAGCAGGGCATGGCGAGCCCGTGGGCCTCAGCTGCCCTGGAGGGTGGGGTGGCCTGGAGCTGCCAGGCCAGGCGCCTAGAAATGCAGGGGGTCCCCTGGCACTTTCTCTGTATGTCTGTCTGCATCCAGCTGGCTCGTCATTGGGTCTGTCTGGACTCGCCTGTCCGCACCTTTGCCTGTCTGTATTTGGAGTGGCTGTACATCTATCTGGACCTACCTTTCCGCCTGTCCGTCAGGGGTCTGATTCCAGCTGTAGCTGTGCTCTGGCTCAGGGGTGCTGGGAGCTCTTCCATGTTGGTGCATGTCTGTGACCCTCTCCCTGTTCAATGGGGGTCCTGGGCATCCCCGCTCAGCCTGCTGCCTCCCTAGTCTGGCTGAGTCTGCAGGGAAACCACATGGCCTCAGACCTCCCTCCCCGGTGGGCCTCCAGACACCAACCACCCAGACCTGGAGTCTCCAAATGAAACTCCCGCCTATTGGTTGTCCTCACACTTTTCTAGAAAGGGACGCATCTGCCCAAATCCCAGCCACTCTTTGGCAGGTTTACCAGAAACTCCAGTAACCGGCACCACAGGGCTCATCACCGTGTTGGGCATTTCTGCACTTGCAAAAACTGGGATGCAGGGGACCAGCAGTTAGCATAATGGCTGTGTCGCTGAACTCCCACATAGTCGACCGCGGTTCGCGTCCCAGACCCAGTGGCTTAAAACTCACGCCAGGCGCATGTGCATGCGTGCCCAAGATCCCGAGAGGAGAATGGAGGAGAAGGGATTGCAGCGTGACCATCCCCCCTGGGCGGTGATTTTTCGCTTTCTGTCTCTATGTCTCTCTCTGTCTGTCTGGCGAGCACACGCACCCTATAGCGAAAACCTCTCAAAAAAAAAAAAAAAGAAAAAAGAAAAAAGAAAAAACGGGCACGTAGTGCAGATACCTACCCATCGAGCCAGCCTGGCGCAATGGTAAGAGGGCCGGCACGGACCAGCAGGTGGCGCTGGGGTTACACCTGGACTCCCGCATAGCCACTGCGGTTTGGGTCCCAGACCTGGAGGCTTGAAGCTCACGCTGGGCACGTGTGCGTGCGTGCCCAAGATCCTGAGAGGAGAACGGAGGGGAAGGGACTGCAGCGTGGTCATCCCCCCTGCAGGGTGGTTTCTCACTTTCTGTCTTTCTCTGTCTCTCTGGCAAGCGAACGTGCCCCATAGCCAAAATCTCTCTTCAAAAGGCAGGGAGGGGAGCAGTCAGTTCAGCGCTTTCTCTGGAGGACCTAAGGGTGCCAGTGGGACTGGGGACGGACTGCTAGTGGAGCGGAAGAAGCCGCAGGAAGTGTGCAGAGACTACGGCTTCCTTATAAAAGCAGTAAGCCGTCTGTCCCTGCTGGCTTCCTAAAGAGGCCATGGAAGATCAACCCAGAACTAAGTAAGTGGTTCCTTGTGGGGACGGGGCAGGGCGGGAGTAGAAAGGAAGAGCCTGGTTTTAGGCTTCTGATTTTGAAAACAAATCTTTTCTATAAGGAAAAAGCGAAGTTAGTTAATCTTTCAGTTAAAGACATACTGGACAAATGAACCAGAGTACGGCAGCGCCCCGTCCCCCCGGCTGGGGGGACCCGCCCGCGCGGGCTAGAAACGCGGCACCTGCTGCAGTGTACCGCCACACCCGCTCTATTTTATTCTGGGTTTTGATCTCCGACTGTGCCCGGCTTATAATTTAAACTTTATCGTAGGTGTGTGTGTGAGAAACAGCACGCGCAGGGTGGTGCTATTTGCAGTTCCAGGCGTCCAGGGTCTGGGACGTCTCCCCTGCAGGTGGAGGACAGCGGGAGGGACTACTGCATGGAGTTGGTAGAAAACCACACTGAGAATTATCTTGAGCAACTTTTATTTATTTGTTTATTTTTATTTTTTGGAGAGAGACTTTTGCTATAGGGAGCATGCACTTGCCAAAGAGACAGAGACAGAAAGTGAGAAATCGCCCTGCATGGGGATGGCCATGCCGTAATTCCTTCTCCTCCATTCACCTCTCGGGACTTTAGGCATACACACACACACACACACACACACACACACACACACACGCCCTGAGTTTCAAGCCCTTGGGTCTGGGGCTTTAACGGCCATGGGCCATGTGGGAGTCCAAAGACATATCCATTACGCCACCTGGTGGTCCCCCAAGCAATTTTGAAACAGTCTTTTACTATCACTCCCTAAAGGGGTAGAAACGTCTAATTCCTTTCAAGAGACTCTTGAGTCCAAGTACCGGTATTTAGAAATTGCAATACTCCGTGGGAAAGACCAAGTCGGTTAACGTCTGGAAGTAAGGCTCCCACACGGGAGCAGCTGGCACCCTGTCACCTTGCGTTTTAAGTGGAAGGATCAGCAGGGACTCGTGTTTTATTTTTCTCCTCCTAAAATATCATTTTTTAAAAAGTCTTTCCTAACTCTGGTCATTGAAAGTGCCTAGACCCGATGGGAACCAGGGGCAACGAGCCCTGGATGTCCAGACTGTGTCCCCTCCAAACCTCGCTCCACTAAGCGGAGCCCTGCCAGGATCAGTGAGTTTTCAGCAGACTGACACAGAAGTCCTCAAAGTCCACACTCCCAGTGGGACCACTCGGACATCAAAAGGACAGGACTGCGGTGGCCGAACCACAGCACATGTGTGGAAGAGCTGAGCGAGAGCGCGCGATGCTGTCAGACGTTAGACCTCGTGGGTACCACCTCGCTCTGCGGATAGAGACACCTAGGCGTAGAGCTCAAGGTGGCCGGATCCCACATGGCCGGCTGCGAGGGCTGAGACCCAGACCCATGGCGTGAAAAACATGCCGGTGTGTGTGTACCCAAAATCCCGAGAGGGAATGGAGGGAAGGTCGTCCTCCTGAGAGGCGTTTTCTCCTTTTCCCTTTCTCTCCCTCCGTCTCTCTTTGTCAAATGCAGGTGCCCTATAGCATATTAAAAATAAAGAATTCTTCAGTCACTCCCTCAACTCCATCCTCCTGCAAAATGAAACAAACAAAAAAGAGAGCCCCTCCCCCCAAAAAAAGATTGGTTAGGGAGACGGTGCTGCCAGAGCCAGCGCCTCCGGCCACGACAACACCTCTCCCACAACACACCTGCAGGTCAGGGCTTTAACTCTGACAGCGCTGACCGGCACGCTGTGTGTGAAGGGGGCTGTGGACTGCCCTGCCCTGCACGCTCTGCATTCTTTCTGGGCGTTTTCCACGAGTTTACAAAGAGCACATCTTCGGGCCTTGGTACCCCACTTGTAAACACGCGTCCTGAGGAGCAGTGGCAGCCGGTGCCGACATGCGGTGGCTCCACTGCTCGGCCGCACACACGCTTCCTGAAACATCGCTAGATACCTACTTTGGAACGCAGCAAACTGACCAGCAGAAGGAGCTGGTTTTCCGTTTTGGAGATGAAACCCATCTGGAGACGAGTCGCACACAAAGTGAATCTACTGAAAGCCGCTGGTCTCTACAGCCCAGCACGGCTCCCGTGGCACGCTTTAGGTTGCGTGCATTCCCCACAACTGGAAATGTAAAAAAAAGGGCTGGTTGTGTTTGATAATGGAGTGCAGCCGAAGACTGCTGTAAGGCCCGCCGTGGCATGGTGGGTAAGGCGGCTGGATCCCGCAGGCCAGCCGCGCCCTGGGGCTTGAACCCTGCACCTGGTAGCTTGAAAATATGCTGGTCGCGTGTGCCCAACAGCCTGGAAGGAGAATAGAGAAGGGACTGTGGCATGGCCATCCCCCAGAGGGTGATGGGTGGTTTCTCTCTCTCTCTCTCTCTCTGTCTCTCTCTGTCTCTCTCTAGCAAGTGCATTCACCCTACAGCGATCCTAAAAAGAAAAAAAAATGTAGAAAAAAATTTAATGCTATGGAAAAATAAGGATGCTCCCACAAGACTGGAAGTAGGGAAGCCGGTTAGGAAACCATATGCTCCACTTGGCTGCATTTGGGTGAATTCGGAGTGAGCACGTGGAGCCAGGCTGGAAGGGCACCCTCCAAAAAGCGCGTGCTACACCCAGCCCTGAAAGAGCGGCTCGTGAATCTGCCCGAAAGCGCGAGTGAAGTGCGGGGCGGAGCGCCAGCATGCAGCCCTTCACGGAGTGGAGGCAGGCTAGGCAGGGCCCGGGCCTCCTGCCTGTCTCTTGCATGCGTGTGCTGGGTATTTCTTTTCCCCCTCTGCTTGTCTTCTCAGTTTTCTAAAATAGCATGGGTGACTTCCACGACGGGGACACAGTGCTGCTGTAAAGCTGCCGTGTGTGTTGCAGGCTGTTGATGGAGAAGGGGGCGGATGACAGCCGGGACCGTGGTCATCACCGGGGGCATCTTGGCGACTGTGATCCTGCTCTGCATCATCGCAGTTCTGTGCTACTGTCGGCTCCAGGTACCCCCGGGGCGGGGCAGCGCCAGAGTGCCCCCGAGGGCCAGGGCCAGGGAGGGGGAGGAGCCAGGGCTCAGAGAAGGTGCAAAGCAGGCCGGGCCACCCCGCCAGGCTTGCCCTGAGGCTCAGAGAAGGTAAAGGCCCTAGCGTGGCACACAGCTGCCCTCAGGACTGCGGGGCTGGGCACTTGGCCACGCTGTGTGCCCCACCAAGCTCTAGGGCTGTGTGAGGCCCCAGGTCTCCCTGGCCATGTCCACGGAGGATGAGGCAGTGCAGCCCAGCGCCCAGCAGCTTGACTCGGGCCAGACCCCAGCTTGCCGCGCTCAGGCTGCCTGCCCCTCTGGGCTGTAGCTTCCCCTCTGCTAAATGGAGTTGAACGAGTCACTGAGAAGCGCTTGGCTCTGATTGACCTCGCAGCCCCCATTTGTGGTTAGTCACATGGCTGTGTCTGGGCCTTGCCCGGCTCTGCGGGGCTGACCTTGGCCACGAGCGGGTGGCGCGGTGGGAGCAGGGTGGCCACTCACCGCCCTCTGCCCACAGTACTACTGCTGCAAGAAGGGCGAGTCGGAGGGGGACGAGGAGGAGCCCGACTTCGCGGTGCACTCACACCTGCCCCCGCTGCACTCCAACCGCAACCTCGTGCTGACCAACGGGCCTGCTGCGCTCTACCCAGCCGCCTCCACCTCCTTCAGCCAGAAGTCGCCGCAGGCCCGCACCCTCTGCCGCAGCTGCTCCCACTACGAGCCGCCCACCTTCTTCCTGCAGGAGCCGCCCGAGGACGAGGTGGTGCACAACGGGGGTGAGCTCGTGGCCTACCAAAGCGTGGGCCAGGACGACGCCGAGCCGCCCACTGCGGCCTTTGGAGGCCTGCAGGCGCTCAACCCCAGCCGCCTCTCGGCCATGCGGGAGGCCTTCTCCCGGAGCCGTAGCATCAGCACTGACGTGTGATGGCCCAGGGAGGCCCTGAGCCTGCGACGGCCCCCATGGTGCCCCGGAGGAGCCCCAAGCCAGGCCCCAGGCTTGGCCAAGCCATCTTCACTTCCCTGCCTTCGGGAGGGTCCCAGGTTTGGGGAACCCTTGGGCCCACTGCAGGGACAAGGCTCCGTGAACACAGGCGTAGCTACAGGGGTAGGGCCTGGGGCTGGCAGGGAGGCGGGCATGATGCCAGCCCAGGCAACGGCTGCAGAGTAAAGGCAGGGCTGGCCAGGGGGCTCCCCGGCTCCCGAGCCCTGGCTCTTGTTTTCTGATGGTGTTGTGGGGGGGCGCCCCTCTCAGCCCCAGCAGCTCGGCCATCTCTGACTGGGTGGTCTTGGCTCTGTCCCTCCCGCCCTGGGCCTCAGCCCTCCGACCTGGTCAAGGAAGGAGTGGCCTCAGTGATGTTGCGGCCTGCGGCCCAGGCCTCCCCGGTGGACCAAGTATTCTACCTGCCCTGCTCTCAGGCCTCCTTCCTCCTCACCCCCTTCCTCTCTGCCTCCCTGTTCTCTCCCCCTCTTCCATTCTCCCTCTTCTCCCTCCCTCTCGCTCTCATTCCTGGCTTCAAGAACCAAGTGTCTGCTCAGGGTCGAAGCCCTGGCTGGGCGGGCCTCCCCACAGAGGGAAGCCTCCCCCAGGAGGAGAATTTCAGGAGTAGCACCATCCTTAGTACACTCAGCCCTGCCTGACCTTTTGGGGTGGAGGAGCACATGGAGGAGAAGGCTGCACCCCTGCCCGCCTGCTCTGGGCATGTCAGCACTCCTCCCAGACGCACACCGCATGTCCTCAGCCCTAGCCGTGGAAGGTGGCAGAGGCCAGGAGGGATATGAGGCACAGGAGGTTGGGCAGAGCCGGGGCCAGGGGTTCAAAGCCCCCAGCTTATGAGACTCGGATGGCCCTTCCTACCACTGGCCTCGGTCTCCCCATCTTGTGCCCCAGAGGCCCCATACTCGGGCTTTGCCCAGGGAGGCAGAGCTGCTGGTCGCACCTCCCTGCCTCCTGCTGCTGTGCGGGGTCCAGGATCGAGACCAGTCCCTGCCCTCTGCCCCCTGCCCCTGGGGCCAGCATCCGGAGCTCGCTGCCTGCGTGCAAAGACCCCATCTGGGCCACAAGGCACCAAGCCGGGGGTCCCCAGGCCTTCTCAGCCCCTCTCCACAAGGCACCAAGCCAGGGGTCCCCAGGCCTTCTCAGCCCCTCTCCAGCAGAACTGAGGCCCAGTGGCCACCCTGAACAACACCCCAAGCCCAGGGTACCAGCAGCAGGGAGCATGGCCCTGCCCCCACACCCCTGGGAAGAGGCAAGTTCCTCCTATCCTCTCCGGAACTATCAAAGGGCCTTGGCCGGCTTTGGCCGGAGCCCCAGGGAAGGAGGCCAGACTCCCCAGCAGAGGCACCTTCAGAGACGAGCCTTCCCTGGGCTGCCCCCTCCCCCGCCAGGGCACCCACTCTTCCTGGGAAGCACCTGGGACCAGAGACCACTGCTTGGGGCTTTCTTGATTTTCCCATTTTCCCTTTCTCCTCCTGCCTCGGGCCCACCCACACCTCTGCTTCCTGTGTCCCTGGCTCCTTTGTTTCTGACACATCCTTAGCTTGGGGGGTGGGCCTGGGTGGGGGTGGGGGAGGGCGGCTGGTTTGTTTCCTTCCCTGTCCCTGGTCTCTGTCCCTCTGTGTAGATGCCTGGCTCTCCGAAATGAACAAAGCACCCACCCCTCCCTCCCTGGGCTCCCTGGTGGGGGCTGTGGGGAGCTGCAGGGCTCCCAATAAACTTGGCTGATCTACACCCCGCTCCCGGAGTCTTCAGTCCAGACGCCCTCTTGGGGCTTTCTGGAGTGGCCGTACCCTGCCAGCCAGCAGTGGGGTCTGGGCTCTGCCCAGAGGGGTCCCATGGCAGCCATACTGTCTTCACACTTCTGGTGGTGGCTCCCTCTTCCCAGATCGGGAACCCCCGTGTAGACTCAGCCCTGAAGAGGGCTGGGATCTGGGCCTTGGCCTTGCATCCAGCAGGGCCATGATACTCATGGGATCTCAGGGATGAAACGGGAGGCACCGAGGACGCGTGTGTGGTCAGGGAGGGAGAAAGGGGGTACAACCGCAGAGCGTGGGGTTGCGGCCACTCAGCTCTATTGGACTGAGCTGGTGACCTTCGGGAGTCCGTCCCACTTTCCTGCCCGTCGGTAACGAATTTGGGGACTCGGAAGAACCCGTGGTGGCAGCGGCTCAGTTGCAGCCCCTTGCCGCATACACGCGTGGGCACACACGGGGGCAGGAACATACTGGAGTGAGCTGCTGCCTCAGTTTCCCAGAGCACCGAGTCTACGGGAGCCATGCTCAGATCCTGTGGCGGACCCTGCTCTAGGTCTCGGCCTGGGGCCTGGCTGCCGCCATGTTGCAGGAAGCAGACTGGCTGCTGTGCCTCGTGGTCACCTGTGCCAAAGGAGACCCTCCCCACGGTTTTCGGTGCAGAGGTGGGCTGGCTCTGCACCCCAGGCTGGGAGTGGCTGTTTGCCATTTCCCCTTCTGGGCCTTTCCCCTGGGAGAAGGCGTTCAGGCTCCTGGGTCAGCCCAAACAGCGCCTCCCAGCTCCTTCCCTGGCCCCATACGCAAGTCCAGATGGGGCTTCCGGGGGTGCAGCAGCAGCAGGCACCCTTTCCTGGGGCTCACGGCTGCTCCTGCCCAGGCTCCCGCAGCCCGGCTCATGTTGGCTCCCCCAGCATGCCCAGCAGTGGTGCTCTGCTTCTGGGCAGAGGCTCGGCTGCAAGATACCCCTGCAGGTCCTGCACCAGCTGACACTGTCCCACTGCAGCACCCGAGTCCAGAAGCCCAGGTACCCCTCTGCACCCCGGCTGTCTGACTGCCCAGCATAACCCCCAAGCCAGGAGCAGCTGAGGCCCACACCGCCACCATAAATAGGCCACTTTATTACTGTACCTAATGAGGGCCGGGGCCACCGGGTCGAGCCCACTGTGCAGGACCTGCGGTTCCACCAGAACTGCGCCTCCTCCTGGCGGAAAGTGCAATGGTCCGTCCGATGAAGCAGGCTATGCCGATTCTCAGACTCCCAGAAGGGTACCCTAAACACCACCAGGCTCTCCTTGGCTGCCCTTCTCTACCCTTCCGGGGCTGGGGTCGTCCGTGTGTCTCCTGGGGTGGCCCCACCCCCAGAGAAGTGCCTGGACCGTGGGCAGATGTGAGGGCCAGGTCCACCACTGGGCTTTGGGCTAGGCCCCCCTGCTGGGGGCCTCTGGGTGTGGGGCGGGCACCCAGACTCGAGTCTGCACGGCTCTGCTTGTCCGCCCATGGTGGCACTGTCCGGAGGAAGGCCGAGAGCACTGGGGTCCTGCCGGGGACAGCAGAGGTCCGTGGGCCGTGGGCAGTCCCTCATCAGCCAAGGCTTGGTGTCATGTCCTCACATCCCGGGGCACCCCGCAGGAAGGTGTTGCGGAGAGGCCCAGAGGCTGCGGCGACCCGGGTGGGATATGTGGGTCTCCAGCTGGTGGGCCTAGGAGTGGGGGGGCCTGCAGGAGCGGCAGCACGCCTTGCTGTAGTACCAGTGGCCACAGAGGTTCACCTTGATGGCCAGAGCGCAGTTGGTGCCTGGCTGGTCCTGGCAGCTATCATCTGGGAAGGGACACAGCAGGTGGGCGGCTGTCAGGAGGCCAAGGGTAAAAGCCCACAGACCCCCAGCCCTGCCCCTCCCCACCTCCTCTCCTCAACAGCAGAGGCCAAAGGGCAGCCGGGCGGTAGAGCACCCGTGGGCAGGTGGACCCTCTGTGCCCATCTCCTCCTCCAGCCCACGGCGGGGCCCTAACTCTAGCTCTCTGCCAGCCGACCCATACCCAATGCCACCTAGGATGTCCTGGATACCACCAGCAGGCTTCATCTGTGACCAGAGGGGCTATGCCCAGAGAGCGGGGTTCAGAAGGGCCACCAGTCTCCTCCCATAGGCCGGCCCTCCCAGGACCTGCAAGTGCCTTCCAGTCCCTCCCCAGCAATGTGCCCAAGCAGACCGCATTCCCCCACCCAGCACCCATTTTCAGATGTCCAGGCCAGGAAGCCTGCTCCAGCCCCTCGTCTCCCTGCCTCCTGGGGCCGATGCCGGCTGGTCTGCAGCTCTGCAGCCACCCAGAGTCCTACCGGTGGTGCTCTCCACGGAGTGCACATCCACACTGGCCCCGGGCCCCCGTTCACCTTCCCCTGTGCCCCGACCTTGGAGCGAGCTGCACTGCTCCAGGAGGGAACTGCGCTCCAGGCATGCCTGCTTCTCTCAGCTGTCCCTGTACAGGCCCTGCCCCGCCCTCGGTCACCCCCTTCTCACCTGGGGGCTCCGTGGGGCAGGGCTGCAGGTCACAGGCCTGTCTGCCCACAGGCTTCACCAGGGGGTCGCAGCCGCGGACAATGTCGGTCCCCTGGTAGCACTTCACGTCTCGCATCCTCACTCCCACCCCGCAGGTCTTGGTGCACTGATGGGAATACAGGTGGCATGGGTGAGGCTGCTCACAGGACCGAGTGCAGGGTGCAGGTCCAAGGTGGGGGACCTCACTATCCTGCACCCTTGTATTTCCCCATCTGCCCATCCGGCAAGACCCATGAGTCTCAGCAAACAGGCCCAGCTCTTCCGAGGCTGGAGCTGCAACCCCTGGGCTGAGTGTAGTACCACAGAGGAGAAGGGCTCTGGCTGGCAGCTGGGAAACTCTCATTCTCACCCCCACCCAGCGCTACTTTGGTTTCCCCAGCTGCGAGTGCCTCTGGTGGGCCCTCTGCTTCTGCTTTCCTGGCCTGCGCTGCAGAGGCTGCTGCCAGCCAATCCAACGCAGCTCCCGAAACTGGCACGCCCACCCACAGCGCCC